CGTCTGCAGTACATTCAAAATTCTGCTGCCAGATTATTAACTTCCACAAAAAAATCTGCTCACATCACCCCTATTCTATTTAATCTTCACTGGTTGCCTGTATCTATTCGTGTGCAATACAAAATTCTTCTGCTCACCTTTAAGGCACTCAATGGTCTTGCTCCCTCCTATCTTTCCGACCTACTTTCTTCTTATATACCTTCTCGCGCACTCCGGTCTTCTAATTCTGAACTTCTTTGTGTACCTAGGTTCCGCCTATCTTCAATGGGCGGCAGGTCCTTCTCTGTTACTGCACCCAAACTTTGGAATTCACTTCCTCTGGCACTCAGAACAGTCACCTCTTTCAGTGAATTCAAATCAAAGCTTAAAATTGTATTTGTTTAATCAACACTATCGCTAATTTACATTGTGTATTTGTTTGTTTTGTTTTCTATTTCTGTCTTTACTGCATAATTTCTGTTATATGCAACTGCATTATTTGTAACTGAATTGGGCAAATGTCCAAAGAAATTGTTTCTTTGTAATCAATATTTGCTGCTTTGGTGTACCTTGTAGAGCATCCTTGAGCTTGGGAAAGGCGCTATATAAATTGAACATATTACTTATTAACTTTCTCAGTTTGTGTAAATCCACTTCTGGGTTCAGAGTATTTCTTTTTTCCACATTAATTTCACACGTATAGTACGAATATGTGGTTTTATTTCATGAATACAGTATATACTTTTTCCCATAAAGAATGGAAAGAAAATATGACATTGTGTTGTAAGAGGCCCATATAACAGCTTAAAATGCTATTTGATCTAATCCAAAAAAAAAAAAAAAACACGTCAAATGTTTTGTCAGTACAATAATTAACTTTTTAATATACAATAATGACATTCTTCGTTGTGCTGGTATTTAAACCCAGTTTATGACTTCTGCTAGTTTAAAAAGCATTAAAGAAATATCTCAACTGTTAAATGACATATTGAAGATTAAAATAATAGCAAATTTGTCTCATTTTCAATAACCACTAAAAACTGAGATCAAAAACTACCTTCAGTAAGAAACTTACGTATGGTTAAATAAATGTTTATTGATATTTTACAAAGATTTGTAAAAAATTTTTGTTGCACTTTTTTCCCCATATTATGTTTATATGGCAGATAGTAAATGCAATGGTATGGTAAAGAGAGAAACAAAACACAGGAAGTATCTTGTGGTACTGTTGTGCATAGTAGTAAACAATAACCTGACCATTTTTACATAATAATAATGACAAATTATTGTTTAAAATAACCTGATTATTAATTATCATTAATATACTCAAACTTTATTCACGTTGCTTTACTCTTGGAAAGCATTTTTTAAGAAAATACCATTTTCTACTTCAAAAAATATATATATTTTTTTTTAAGTTTATTTCAGTTTCTTTGTAACTATTTGAGAAAGTTACTAGTGGTTTCTGAGTGAAAAATAATCAAAATGATCACAAAATCAAAATGAATCCTACACCAAAATTTTACACCTTACCTGAGGTAAAGATTAAGAGCAGCAGAGAGCAGTCCATTTCACACGTATTGGATATGACATTTATAAAACTAACTACTAACTAACTCTTGTTCCTGTCTGGTTTATAAAGCAGAGGCAGGGCTGGATCATTGCTAGAGTGGGAAGTCCATCAGTACATCAGAAAACAGCCATCCATTTACAATCAAACTAATGTTAAACTAAAAAGATAACAGAACTGCACTAGGGGTGTGCGATATTGACAAAAAATTATATCTCTATATTTTATGGGATTTTATCGATAACGATAATTAGACAATATTTTGCTGAGTAT